TTGGAGTCCTCGTGGACAAGAAGTTAAACATGAGCCAACAATGTGATGTGGCGGCAAAAAAAGCCAATGGGATTTTGGCCTGCATCAATAGGAGCTAGTGTCTAGATCTAGGGAAGTCATGCTACCCCTCTATTCGCTTTGGTTAGACCACACCTGGAATATTGTGTCCAATTCTGGGCACCACAATTCAAGAGAGATATTGACAAGCTGGAATGTGTCCAGAGGAGAGCGACTAAAATGATCAAGGGTCTGGAGAACAAGCCCTATGAGGAGCGGCTTAAGGAGCTGAGCATGTTCAGCCTGGAGAAGGATGAGAGGAGATATGATAGCCATGTATAAATATGTGAGAGGAAGCCACAAGGAGGAGGGAGCAAGCTTGTTTTCTGCTTCCTTGGAGACTAGGACGCGGAACAATGGCTTCAAACTACAAGAGAGGAGATTCCATCTGAACATGAGGAAGAACTTCCTGACTGTGAGAGCCGTTCAGCAGTGGAACTCTCTGCCCCGGAGTGTGGTGGAGGCTCCTTCTTTGGAAGCTTTTAAACAGAGGTTGGATGGCCATCTGTCAGGGGTGATTTAAATGCAATATTCCTGCTTCTTGGCAGAGGGTTGGACTGGATGGCCCATGAGGTCTCTTCCGACTCTTTGATTCTATGGTAGCAATTTATGACTTCTTTACTATCCCATCCCTCAGCATTTCGGAGAAGCCCCCAAACCATTATTTCCGTTACTAAAATGTTCCTATACCTTTGCTGCAGAAGATCACAGACACAAAAGGCATTGGCTACTGTGACTACAGGAAAACAGATTCCACCTGAACATTAGGAAAAGCTTCCTAACTATGAAAGAGAGCTGTTCAACAGTGGAACTCTCTGCCCCGGAGTGGTGGAGGCTCCTTCTTTGGAGGCTTTTAAACAGAAGCTGGGTGGTCATCTATTGGGGGTGCTTTAAATGCAATTTTCCTGCTTCTTGGCAGAATGGGGTTGGACTGGTTGGCCAACGAGGTCTCTTCCAACTCTTATGGTTCAATGTCAATATCTAAGAGGCGAATACGGTGATAGTTGTTGCAATCATGTTTATCACCCTTCTTGTAAATGGGGACAACTACGCGCTGTTTCCAGCCCTCTGGGATTATGTCTGTGTTATTGATTAGCAAGAACACTGATATTCAAGCCCAACACTATCTAAACCAGTGTTTCTCAACCTTAATAATGCTGCGACCCCTCACTTATGTTGTGATGACCCCCAACCATAAAATTATTTCCGTTGCCACTTCATAGATGTACTTTTACCATTGTTATGAATCATAATGTAAATATCTGATATGCAGGATGTATTTCCATTCACTGGACCAAATTTGGCACAAATACCCAATACGCCCAAATGTGAACACTGGTGGAGTTTGGGGAAAATAGACCTTGACATTTGGGAGTTGTCGTTGCTGGGATTTATAGTTCACCTACAATCAAAGAGCATTCCGAACTCCGCCGATGATGGAATTGAAGCAACCGTGGCACACAGAACTCCTGTAAGCAACAGAAAATAATAGGAAATAGTATCTTATTGTTAATTAAATAATTAACAATAACATACTATTTCCTATGAGCAACGGAAAATACTGGAAGGGTTTGGTGGGCATTGACCTTGAGTTTTGGAGTTGTAGTTCACCTACATCCAGCGAGGACTGTGGACTCAAACAATGATGGATTTGGACCAAACGTGGCACGAATACTCAATATGCCCAAATGTGAACACTGGTGGAGTTTGAGGGAAATAGACCTTGACATTTGGGAGTTGTAGTTGCTGGGATTTATAGTTCACCTACAATCAAAGAGCATTCTGAACTCTACCAATGATGGAACCGTGGCACACACAACTCCCATAAGCAACAGAAAATACTGAAAGGATATGGTGGGCATTGACCTTGAGTTTTGGAGTTGTAGGTCACCTACATCCAGAGAGGACTGCACTCAAACAAATGATGGATCTGGACCAAACATTGCATGAATATTCAATATGCCCAAATGTGAACATGAGTGGAGTTTGGGGAAAATAGAACTTCACATTTGGGAGTTGTATTTACTGGGATTTATAGTTCACCTACAATCAAAGAGCATTCTGAACCCCACCAATGATAGAAGTGGGCCAAACTTCCCACAGAAAACCCCCATGACCAACAAAAAATACTGTGTTTTCTGATGGTCTTTGGCAACCCCTCTGTCACCTCACCCCTCACGACCTCCCCCCTGGGGCCCCGACTCCCAGGGTTGAGCAACGCTGATGCAAACCAAGCTGCTAAAAAAAAAGAACCACAAATGGCACAAAATTGTTTTATTGAGATTATGTTTAATCTGTTACATGTGTGTTCAGAAGATCTGCCCATGCTCAAGACGGCAGTTCTAAACGTAAACATTCGATTGGGTTTTTTACAAGTTTTAGTTGCGAATTAAGAGGAATTCAAGATTTCTTCCGGTTGTCTACATTATATTTATTTGAGCAAGAGAGTAGGCGCTCATTGTCAAACTATGAGGCTACGGAGTTAATACGGTCCCTATCGGGGTTCACCATAGAAGTCCTGTGGTCCAGGAGTGAAACAAGAAATGCAGGGATTGAATAATTATCATATAATATATAATTATTAACATATATATATATATATATATATATATATATATATATATATATATAAAATATGTTAATATAACTATAAATATAACTATTATATAATTAATATATAATTATTTATATAGTGTCAGAAGTGACGAGAATATACTGCAAGCTGCTTCTGGTGTGAGAGAATGGGCTGTCTGCAAGGACGTTGCCCAGGGGACGCCCATCCGGCAGTATATTCTCAAGTCACTTCTGACATGTTAACATCTTGTTGGAGGCTTCTCTCATGTTCCTGCATGGAAGCTGGGGCTGACAGACAGGAGCTCACCCCGCTTGGTGGATTCAGGTCAGCAGTTCAGCTGGCACAAGGGTTTAACCCATTGCGCTACTTCGGAAGGGATTGTATGGATATTTCTCAGGACTCTCGCTTGCCTCTTGCTATTTCTGCTCGAATTCTCAGCTGCTGGAAACAGTAGCTCGGGACCTCTGTTTTGTTCCTAGCAGCTGAGAATCTGAAGAGTCAGATGTCATCAGTGTCAAAGATATGATGGCCGGACACATAACAGTCCCCTCTTTGAAAAAAATAAATAACTAAATCAGAATTTAAAGGTGCACAACACCATAATTCTGATTCTTCTAAGTGATAACTATGCTGGAAAACCTGATTAAGTTCTGATGAAGGAGGAAGAGAAGACAGAGGGAATAGATACAGACAGGTTTCTGAACTACATTCAGACAAACTGCAAGTGCGACAACACATGTCCCTCGGCCCATGAGATCACCTGAGAACATGGAGGCAGTGAGAGCTTCAATGTTGCGATCACCACGGCGTTCTGCGCACAAACATGCGCCTGCCCTTGGACTTTCCGATCGTTCTGTGAGAATTCTTCATGATGATCTTCATTTCCATCCTTACAAGATGGCGATTGTGCAGGAACTTTCTGAACGTGACTTCAATTCTTGGAGGAACACGTGTGAGGTTCTTCTCAAAGTCGTTTCTGAGGACGCTCTTGTTTCTTTTAGTGATGAAGCCCATTTTCATTTGTGCACAACACCATAATTCATTGATTTGTGTGGATCTGTCAACAAACAAAACATGCGCTACTGGGCTGGCAACCATCCTCGAGAATGGCATCCAAGGCCTTTGCATTCACCTCAAATCACAGTGTGGTGTGCAATTTCCTCAGCTGGAATTATTGGTCCTTCGTCTTTGGAGGAAAATGAAGTCACAGTGACAGTGAATTCGGACCGGGATGTAAACATGTGACAGGAATTTTTTTCCCATGGCTAGATGGGTTGGACTTAGGGGACATTTGGTTCCAACAAGATGGTGCAACTGCACGCACTTCAAGAGCATCAATGACTGTTTGGAGGGAACACTTCATCTCAATTAGGGGGGATTTGGAGTGGCCAGCCCGCACTCCAGATTTGGCCCCTTGCGATTTTTTTTCTATGGGGTTTTTTGAAATCCCGTGTTTTTGTGAACCGTCCAAGGACCCTACAAGATTTGAAGACCAACATCCAGGAAGTAACTGCCAACATCATGCCTACTGTGCTGGCAAGAGTCATGACAAACGCCAGAAATCGGTTTACTCAGTGTATGGAGAATGGGGGACGTCACCCACCTCATTGGATCTTCAAAACTACGTAAAACAAAACTTTAGGTATGCGCCTACATTATATATATTAAAAAAATCTGATTCATACAATGTGCTTTATTAAGTTTTGAAAAAAGGAAGTTATGCTGCTGCACCCTGTATTTGTTGGGCATGGACCACTAAAACCATGGGGTAGTACTCCTGGTTGCTGTCACGTGGCATATGCTGGTTCCTCCTTACTTTTGCCATGGAGTAGATATACAAGGGGCGATCATTAAAGATTTCCCCGACCCACTTCCTGTGGACTGAGAACAATGAAACTTGGCCCAGTTCTGAGTCCTTCTCTCTATTGGTGCTACCTCAGGATACACTCTTCGCCAATCTTTTAAAGGAACTGTAAACACCTCGCTTGTAGAAGTTGACAGGTTGCTCCAAAAGCCACGTTGTGACTTTGGAAATCAGAGTCTCATCACCTGAAAAAGGCATGCCCTTCAAAAAATAACATCATTGTTGGAAAGAGGTGGAAGTCCAATGGTGTTGGGCATGTTCCTTCTTTGGAGGCGGTCAGTCAGGATGCTTCCATTGCATCAACTGGACTTTAGTCTCAGGATCAGAGTGATGGACCCAGCTTACCTCCTGTGGGATCGGCCTGTTGACAAAGTCCTCCTGGTTTCCATGGCATATCATCAATAGTCTGAGGGCAATCGGGAAATGTGTGAGCAGTCGGGGGACCCAGCGAGCAGACACCTTATGCATCTGAAGATGGTCTTGGATTATTTTTTCCACTGAGATTTTGGGCTAGGTGGAGAATGGTTATGTAGCGATTTTCCAAAATGGTGACCTCCACTTGCTGGATGGTGTGTTCCTCAAGAGCAGAGTGGGGTTGCCCTGGAATTGGAGCTGTTTCCAACCACATTGGAATTGACGATGCCAGTTCCTGACTACATCATATGATGGGGAATCATCACCTAAACCTCTTTCATCTCATCAAACGTCTCCTTTGGTGTGCAGCCTTTCAAGGAAAGGAACTTGGTGACTGTTCTGTATTCTGCTGGGTCCATTCTCAAACCTCACTCCACTTCTGCACCTGTCACATCAAGACCATTCCCAGTTCTGAGTTGTAAATTGGCACGTCACCTATAGAGACTTCTGTCATTACACACGTGCAGTTTCAGCATCCTGTGATAAATAGAAGTGGGTCAGGGGACTTCTTTAAAGAATGCCCCTGATCCTGAGACTAAAGTCCAGTTGATGAGGAGGGCGACTAAAATGATCAAGGGTCTGGAGAACAAGCCCTATGAGGAGCGGCTTAAGGAGCTGGGAATGTTTAGCCTGAAGAAGAGAAGGCTGAGAGGAGATATGATAGCCATGTATAAATATGGGAGAGGAAGCCACAGGGAGGAGGGAGCAAGCTTGTTTTCTGCTTCCTTGGAGACTAGGACGCGGAACAATGGCTTCAAACTACAAGAGAGGAGATTCCATCTGAACATTAGGAAGAACTTCCTGACTGTGAGAGCCGTTCAGAAGTGGAACTCTCTGCCCCGGAGTGTGGTGGAGGCTCCTTCTTTGGAAGCTTTTAAGCAGAGGCTGGATGGCCATCTGTCAGGGGTGATTTGAATGCAATATTCCTGCTTCTTGGCAGGGGGTTGGACTGGATGGCCCAAGAGGTCTCTTCCAACTCTTTGATTCTATGATTCTATGTTGTGAGATGGGAGTCAGTGGGTTCCGTGAAAAAATTAAGAGGAACTGGCGTATGCCACCAAATTTGGCTCGTTTGATTAAGTCATATGACTGTATATAGAATGAGAAGACACATTATAAAATGCTTGTAGTTGAGGGGAGGAGAGCATAAATCATTTGGAGGGGCAAGCCACCGAAGAGCATTCCTCTCCTCAAAGTTTTTCTAGATAGGATCCAGGCACAAAGCCATGCTCATCATCCAGTTCTGCAGTCCACCAGCCGTCTTCTCCCACTTCGATGACCGTTACGATATCCCCGGCTTGGATGTCTAGTTCATCCTCATTCTGGGAGAAAAGAGAAAACAATGCAGTGAAACACAATTTTGACCAAAGATTAGAGTGTCCGAACTCACCCTCGGAGCACATTTGAGCAGTTGTGAACTCGAACTTTGAATTAATCTGCAAGTGTTGTTTAGATTGGTTGCAATAAAGGTATTGGTCAGTTACTCCAAGGTATTAAGAAATTCTCTGCATCTCTATTACTTCCTTCATTGACTCCTTCAACCCTATGGATGAGAGATTTTCATGTCACCCTTTCTCTCAAACTCAGGTCTTGCAAAGTCAGGCCTATGCCTTTCATAACGGTAATTTTGCTACTGTTATGAATCGTAATGTAAATATCCGATATGCAGGATGTATTTTCATTCACTGGACCAAATTTGGCACAAATACCCAGTACGTCCAAATGTAAACACTTTTACATTTTACAACAATTACTCATGTTGTGGTGACCTCCAACTATGAAATTATTTTTGTTGCTGCTTCACGACTAATTTTGCAACTGCTATGAATCGCAATGTAAATATATGATATGCAGGATGTATTTTCATTCACTGGAACAAATTTGGTACAAATACCCGAAAAGCCCAAATGTGAACACCGGTGGAATTTGGGGAAAATAGACCTTGACATTTGCTGGGATTTATAGTTCACCTACAATCAAAGAGCATTCTGAACTCCACCAATGATGGAATGGAAGCAACCTTGGAACACAGAACTCCCGTAAACTTGGCACAAATACCCGAAAAGCACAAATTTGAATACTGGTGAGATCCCAGGAGGGATTGATTTTGTCATTTGGGAGTTGTAGTTGCTGAGATTTATAGTTCACCTACAATCAAAGAGCATTCTGAACTCCACCAGTGATGGAATTGAAGCAACCTTCGCACACAAACTCCCGTAAATTTGGCAAAAATACCTGAAAAGCCCAAATTTGAATACTGATGGGGTTCCAGGAGGGATTGATTTTGTCATTTGGGAGATGTAGTTGCTGGGATTTATAGTTCACCTACAAAGAGCATTCTGAACTCCACCAATGATGGAATTGAAGCAACCTTTGCACACAGAACTCCCGTAAATTTGGCACAAATACCCGAAAAGCCCAAATTTGAATACTAGTGAGATTCCAGGAGGGATTGATTTTGTCATTTGGGAGTTGTAGTTGCTGGGATTTATAGTTCACCTACAGTCAAAGAGCATTCCGAACTCCAATGATGGAATTGAACCAAACTTGACACACACAAACCCATGACCAACAGAAATTACTGGAAGCGTTTGGTGGGCATTGACCTTGAGTTTTGGAGTTGTAGTTCACCTACATCCAGAGAGCACTGTGGACTCAAACAATGATGGATCTGGAGCAAACTTGGAATTGATACTCAATATGCCCAAATGTGAATACTGGTGGAGTTTGGGGAAAATAGACCTTGACATTTGGTAGTTGTAGTTACTGGGATTTATAGTTCACCTACAATCAAGGAGCATTCTGAACCCCACCAATGGTAGATTCCCACACAGAATCCCCATGCCTTGAAGGGACTCGCTAGTGCAAACCTCTTCCTCCAGCCTTGCACGCTCTCCCTCGCCCGCACATGCACACCATGCTGCCTTGTGCCGAGCACGCCTGCTCTCCCCTCCCTGCTTGGAGTCTCAGAAACAGCCCTCCCCTTGGCTGAGAGGATTCACCATCTGTTTCCAAAAAGGTAGAGAAGGACAGGCGAAGAGATCTTCAGCCTTCTCTGCCAAAGGGGTTCCTAAGACCATCCAAAATATATGTTTTCTGATAGTCTTTTGGCGAACCCCCTCATGACCTCCTCTCGACCCCCAGGTTGAGAAGCCCATCTAAACCGATTTATTTGTGTTTTAAGCAACCCACAGTACCCTCAAACTCTTCTCCAGTTGATTTTGTTTTCTCCCACTGTGGCTCTGGCTATAAGTGATAGTCTCCAGATAGTCCTAGTTGTTGCATGAAAGTTAAAAGTAATTGATGCAAATCTCAACGATAAAGTCACATTGACTTTAGAATGTCTGTGTTGACCAACAGCACTGCTTTGCTTCCAAGTTATCTTTATAATGTCAGGATTGGGTGCTCACCTGGGCTGTGTAGTCATAGAGCACTTTGTAGTCCTGAGGCAAGGCATTTTCTTCCGGATGGGTCACATTGATGGCCGCGTAAACACCATCTGGTTTCTCAGCTAGGGAAACAAGGGTTAACTCTTTTTTTTTTAAGAGGCAAAGGATGTGACATAAGTGTCAAAAGCATGAGGATATGTTCCTTCCACACTTGCAAAATATTTACAGCTGCTGGGAATGAACTGTGGCCTTCTAAAATTACAGCCCTACTGCTGTAACTATAACCGCCTGTCCAAACTTTGAGCTTTATTCTGGATTCATAACATGAAAGAAATACTTGGCTTCTTGAAACTACATTTATCTGCTCCAGCTGTTTATTGGGAAGGCATCAAGGACTTTTTTTCCATGTCGGGAGGCACTTGAGAAACCGCAAGTCGATTCTGTTGTGTGAGAATTGGCCATCTGCAAGGACGTTGCCCAGGGGATGCCCAGATGTTTTAATGTTTTGCCATCCTTGTGGGAGGCTTCTCATGTCCCTGCATGGGAGCTGGAGCTGACGGAACTCAGTCCGCTCTCCCTAGATTCGAACTGCTGACTTGTCGGTCAGCAGTCCTGATGGCACAAGGGTTTAACCCATTGCGCCACTGGGAGCTCTGGCATCAAGGGTACAGTCTTATTGTATGGTCCGTGATAACATGGTTGTTATCACAGACCTTTGAGTTATGTCCAACCCATCACAGAATTTTCTGGGCAATGTTGTGACTTGGCTGGAACCACAGACACAGACTGATAGTGTTGTGACTCAGATGGGGTCTCAGAGTGACTGTGACGAGGATGATGGGATTCAGGTTCACAATCAG